CATCTATATCTACGTAGATATAGATGGGCACCAGCATCCCTCCCGACTCCACTAAGGGACAAGGGTGTACAGAAAATGGATGGATGGATAGATATATATAAAATCCAATTTTTCCAATTGAAAAATTGAATTCTATATTATATACAAGAAACTTTTACTTTCTAATTTACTTTCATGTAATTGGGACTCTGTTTCTTTAAAAACTCCTGCTCTTTCTGAATCTCCACCTACAGGAAATCATCACAACGTGGCTCCTCTATTAACCCTTTAAATTTTTCCACTAGGGCTGAGAAGGACGTTGCATAATGACACTTGCTTAGTCAAATCAAGCCCTGTAGCGGTTAATTAGGCAAATAATTAAACACAAGCGAATAAAGAAAACTATACTTAGGTACCCCCTTTGTCATAAATGCTGCTTTAACCTGATATATTAATATTACTTCCTAATATATTATCTGGCAGTAATTTGGCTAACGGCTTAAGGGCTCTGTGCTATCGGCTCACCCGTTGGCTAAAAGCTCCGCGCTAACGACTCACGGCTGACGGCTAAGCATAAAATAAACCCAACTCAGTTTTATTAAAATAACAATGCTAAACATCTAACCATTTCTAGATTAATAAGTGAAGGTAGTTATGCTGGATTTAATGCGTTCAGATTTCAACGGTAGCTCTATGGCAGCATGAAAACAGTTTGCAGTCACTGCTGTGTTGACATTTAAACACCGTTTTATGCCATTTGCTTTCAAGCATTTTCCTGAAGAAGGAGCTTGGTCCTGGAAGGCGGGGCTAGGTCCACGCAGGTGTTTTGCACAGTTGCAAACATGCATGAAAGAATCAAGACATCAGCCCAGCTATGACTTGATGAGGGAATAACATGAACATGTAACATGATGGAAAACTCAAAAAAGTCAATTTTACATAGTACTGCCCCTTTAAGAAAAAGCCAGGAAGCTAAACCAATCTGTTAGTTACAAAATTTGATGAACAAATGTATTTTTGTTTAAATATAAACTGATGGAATATATAATACAGTATGGAGCCTGACAGAAAGGCTTTCGCTAAATGTTCCCTTCCTACCTGTAGCCTTTAGTCGGGGTTTGGGGCTCTTCTTCTCCTTTTTCTCCAGCCGCCCCCGTCGGATGACCTTCTTTCCTTTCTTCTTGGAGCGGCCATAGTCGCTGTCATCGTCATCCTCCACCATGAAGTCCTCGTCGCTGCCAGACTCGTCAGCTGTGTATGTGAACAGAGAGGGCGGAAACTTAGGTTTGTAAAAAATATAAAATCCTGACATGCAGTCAGACAGCTGCCCAGAAAAGGTGGGAATCACCAGAGCAACCAGGCACTGCAAGAGTTGGCCTGTTACAGTAAATGTTCACTAAAAAGGTTACAACAAAATAAAGAGAGGATTTTATTTTAAAATAAAGTCTTTAAAATACGTAATTGACTATTCCCACAGGAGGTTTTAAATACCTGAAAGTTAATGTTCACATGTAATATTTATATTTGCTCTGTGAGAGAAACTGTTTGTTACATGTATAAATACCAGTAAGGAGGTTCAGGAAAAGCATCATGAGACAGAAGAAGGTGAACAACACAATAATTTCAATTAAATAATTACGCAGATTTTAAACGCATAATTTTATTTTATTTTTGTCTCTATAATTATAAACCCGTGCAATGAACTCGATTAGAATTTCAATCAAGTGACAGATACACTTTATATTAAGAACCTCAATATTTTATAGGTTAGCATGTAGAATTCTCCATATTGGGTCACTGTTGGCCAGTTCTGGATTCTCCCTCATTTTAGAAGACAAGAACTAAACAGGCAATGCAATCCTTGTCCTGCTGCCCTAAAATTAGTGGAGCTGCTGGTGTTGTACGTACGGTCCATATAGGACTCCTCCTGGTCTTCGTGCTCCTCATCCTCACTGCCTCCGTCCCCCAGCAGGATCTCTCTCTGTTTTGACACGGCCTTGGAAGCAGCCTGCCTCACTGTACGCTTCCGACTCACTTCCTTGTCGTCGTCACTGTCATCTGTACACACAGCGAGTTGTTATACTGGCGCTTATTACGACGGGAAAAAACACATGAAGGCAGGAGGAAAAGGATGCGGATAAACTCACACTGTTTGATCTGTGACCTTTTATGACACCAACTTACAAAAGATTTCATTTTACAAAGAAACAATATTTTAGTTAATTCACACTTGCTGTTTATGCACAGCTGATCCCTTTTTATTTTAACTGGATTGGATCCAGATGCACACCACTCTTTTCAAACTTTTACATATAAATCATTGTGAAAGTCGTGAATTTAGTGGGCTTTTGTGTTGGTCACTTCTAAAAAAAACTCAAAGTCGGACAGTAAAAGTCTGAAGCATAACATTTTAAGCTGGGTGTTGTGGCAGCTGCCAGTACCTGCAGCCCGTTTTCTCTTTGGGCCCCTCTTACTGGTCTTCTCCACTTTGGCTTTCTTTGCCTTTTTTCCTCTCTCTTCTTCGTAGTCACTGCCTCCTTCCTCCTCCTCCTCCTCTTCTCCAAAGTCGTTGTCTTCCTCCTCACTGCCGAAGTCATCTGCATCATGACATGCGGGGAAGTCAGAGAGTCGGGATCTCAGGTTGGCATGGAGCATGCGCTCACCAAATCGACTGGACAAACTTACCTGCTGAATCATTTTTGGATTTGGAGAGCTTTTCATCAGAATCCTCACTGCAAGAAAGCAGAAGACACCAGACTTTGTGTTTAACAGCCTGATATAAAACTAAAGCACCATCTGCTCAAAGTTCCTGAATTTCACGCTCATAAACCTAGCATCATTTAGCGCAGGACCAACACAGAACGAAGATCATCCAAACCGTGTCCTAACCTGTCATCCTGTGAGTTCTTCGAGCGCTTGTGCTTCGGCTCACGAGGGGCAGGGCGCACCTTCTTAGGCCGATCGCCGCCATACTCCTCATCTACAGAGAGGAGAGGAAGGACAATGTCTCAATTCACATTCTCATCCATCCATCCGTCCGTCTACAAGCAGTGAGTAAATGTTTCACTACTAATTTACTCTGGAAAAGTTTTTTGTTTTTTTTACTTTATTAAATTATGATCTATTGTTACACTAACATGCAACTGTTTTCAATCAATTTGTAGGTCCTGCTTAGAACCATCAGAGCTGTGCTGCTCAGGAAGTCCAGCAACATTTCTTTTGAATAAACTGCTTTTATATCTGTGATCTTAAGTCTTGTAATCCCTTCATGCATTTTTTTATTTATCTGTTGAATAAAAGTTTATAAAATACCACCTATATGCTGATTTTTTTTCTATGGAACGCAGCTCTAAACAATTCAAGTAAAATTTGTCCAAATGTTCACTTTTTTTGTACACTATATCAAATATATTCTAAAGAAAAGCAGCTCAGAAAGCTCTGTCCTGGATGTAATGCTAAGCTATTAGCTGCCATTTGCAAAGGAGCCAAATAAGGAGCACCATTTATTTTCCTTGGTGCCGATTGGCTGCACCTCCCAAGACTGTAGATATTAGCTTCTGTGGTAGTGCTGTGAATAATAATGCATATGAAGGTATATTTGGAAAAATGATACGATACCAACAGAGATGTGGAGTTACTCTCCATCACAGAAAACCAGGGTTTTTGATCACAGTTAATGAAATCATTAATGGTTCCATATTTGTCTTTGCGTTGATGGGTTAGTCTTCCAAAAAAAAAAAAAAAAACAAAAAAAAAACAACGAAGGAATTGGCAGGCCAGATCTAAAAAAGAAAAACAACTAAAAACAAAAACTGCAAAAAGTGTTGGCCATTAAAAGTTACCCTGTGATGCTGAATAGTAAACAACTGATTAGCAGCAGCCTGGCTGAGTCTTACTGCTCAACTCCAACAGCCCTCCATGTCTAACTGAATATAAGGCTGATCTAAGCACATGGATCATCTGGAGTTAATAACTGAAACACTATGAATCTGAGCACAAGCAGCAAGCTACTCCAGAGCAGGTGTGATATTTCTAAGTGGGGGGAGAGGAAGTGGGGGCCGGCAATGTATGTCAGAGAAACATTCATCTCCAATGTTACATATTCACCCCAATGAAAGCTGACCACAAACAAGCATTCATAAAACCGGCACAAATGAATAAAACAGGTTAAAGGTTTAAGAGCGTAAACTGCATCTGCATGCCGGCCGTCACTTCATGCTTGGCACATTAGCCAGCTTGTATTTTGTTCTGAACGAGACAAACGGTGGAGAAACACACAGAGCGTTGCTTACCTGCATCGTCAGACTCGTTGAATTGTGAATAGTTCACCACTTTCCTGTTCCTGTGAACATAAATACACACATTTGATCAGATTACAGAGTAAGTTTACAAGCTTCACCTGATACCAGACTATAAAAAGTGGAGAGAAGGAGACTGTTAACACTATTGTGTTTCCTCTCTATGGAATAGAGTGGAAGCAACAAAGAAACTGCCTGAATGTGTGCATTGTGTTGTTTGGGTAGAAAAACCTCCAGCAGTGGCCAGGCAGAGGTGGATGAACTGAACTGGACCTTGGACCTTGTGCGGCCTGCAGAACTAATTTGGTTGTGTGTATAGATTTATCCTTAGGTGACAAACAGCTTCAGTTTGGGGAACACAAACATTCAAGAACTGCTGCAATAGTGGAAATAGTTAAACACAGTTAAGACTAAATTTAGGCAAACGGCACATCTGTGATCATCTAATTTATACCAATGTTTTTCTTTAGACCAGCTGCAAAACATCAAGCATAGCTAGATTTTTGTTTTGAACCCGCTGATTCACATTTACACAAAACCCTCAGTATATGGGCAGAAACTGGTAAAACATGTCCAATATTTTTTAACAACAACAAAAAATGATGCCACTGTTGTATGAAACAGTATGCATGATGCCTCTGAAACCTTTCCTTGCACGGCAGAGCCCAGTCAGTCACCTCCATGTGGCTGGCACAGTGCCTCCCAGTCTGGGGCCTCAGACCAACCCTGTATGGCTTTTTAAGATTCCTATGACCATCTTCTCAAAATTCTCTTTTTTTAATAAGTTGCCTCTAGCCTGACCATTGCTTTCCTGTGCAATTCTGCTAGATTCTCATCGCCCTTCAGTGCTCTGCCTGCGATTTCTCCAATTGAGCTAGATTTCTCCGGTAGAATTTTAACTGGGCCAATCAGCGAGCAGACTGCTCGGGCCAATCAAATTTCTCCTTCTGCTCGGAGCAGAAGGAGAAATTTTGAAAGATGATGTCAATTTCCTGCTCTGTTTCAGAATTGTAGTCCGCCTGTAGTTTTTGGCAATGACAGCGGAGGAAGTGAACAAAGCCATTCAGTCCATGTCGACCACACTACCAAACATTGAATTATCATGAACAGTTGCCTCGTTTGGCTAGGTAGTTCTCTCTTTGCAGTGGAGGATGGTCGTTTACAGTGCCGCTAATTTTCAGTAAATTTCATAGAGTTGAATTGGTGCCTTACATGCATCACAGCCAAACATTAGTGATTGAGTAAAATTTTAAACTTAAACACAGTCCACACATCCAGGAAGTAATCGTTTCTCAACAGACGTCCTCTGGACGAAGCAAAGCGTAGAACAAGGAGCTGGTTTATACCAGGCTATGTTCTATCTGAAAAAAGGGGTCAATATTCCAAGCAGAAAAAACCCCCCCAAGATTATGATCCAATTGCCGACAGAAGGCCTGACTTCAGAGATGTATATATCCCTGGAACTTGGATAAAACAAATCCAACATTTTGTTCTCTCTAGTAGAGCAACTGAACAAAAAAAAACAAAAAAACAAAACACCTAAATCCATATAACAAAATCCAAATCTGTAAAAAAGCCTTATAAATTCCCCTTTAAGACATGACTTTTGACCATGGGATGTACAAAGGATATGTTTTAGGATCCTTGCATACTGTTGTTTTTTTTCCGTACACCAGGTTTTAGGAGCACATCCAAGCAAGTCTTTATGAATCAGGATCCACCTGGGAAAGCCGATTTATCCCACATGTTTTGTTTTTTTTTCCCCATCAGAGTGACTATATGATGATAATACTTGTTTAAGGTCGTATGATTTTTTCCACTATGCAGGGAACACAGAATCGGGGAAATTGACAAATTAGAATTCAATTTAAAATGCAGAATAACTTAGAATTTCTTAGATTTCCTGACAGCTTAGGTGCTTGGGAAACACTGAAATCTATAGTGAAAGAGCATCAGGGAGAGATTGTACCAACTGCTGTGGCTTTGGTCACTTATAGGGCTGTTGTAAACGAATATTTTAGTAATCGAGTAATCCATCG